GGGGGGGCAAATCTAAGTGTTTTACGGCGCTCGATACTGCATAAGGTCATATGAGCGCGAGGGACACATTTAACATTTTCAGTTTGTAGGAAATTTTGAATTTTGCCTGGGTGCTGGCTGAAGCCTACTCTTATCGATTTTGGACCACCAAGGGATCTTTAACGAGCCCAACTTGCACACATTTTCGCCCTTGTCCGAGAGGGATAGGTGTAGATCTTTCCTACCAGAAGATCATGGGTGTGGCTGAAAGATAGCAGTAAGAAGGAGCAAAGGAGTAGCAGTATAAAGGCTGCAGAAAGAGTCAGGAGCCCAGAGGATGGGGCAGAGGAGAGAGGGTGGGGGCAGAAAGAGGAGACGAAAGCAGACGACAGAACTTTGCTAGAGAGCAGGAAAGGACGTTAAAGGGGACAGATTCAGAGAAGAAAATTTTCCGTCGCTATCCGGATTCGAACCCGGGACCTATTGAATGAGAGGCGAACACCTTAACCTCTACCTCTAGGCCACGAGAGCCCCTCCCCTCCGAGTTTAACGTCCATCTCCGAAAGGACTGAGCCAAATAGGAATCTCGTGTAAAGTGTAAAGTACCTTTCCTAAAGACACAACGTCGGACCAAGCTGAGGCTCAAACCCCTGAATCTGCAATCTCACCAATACGAGCCCAAGTAGCTACCGACGCCATCGGCAATTCGGATAATCGACAGTTTTCTAAACTAACGAAGATAAAAAAGAAAAAAAATCGTACTGTTATCCTTCGGCTTTACCGTTCTTTCCGGATTAAATTAACTGAATAAACCATGTTCGGTTAAACAGACTCCACTGTACTCCCCTCTTTTCAGATCTTTATACTATACTCCAAAGAAGAGACATTGTCAATATATTTGGAATCAAAGAATCTGTGCCTTGTCAATTTACACAGGTATGATAGCAGCAAGAACAACAGACACCATTGCTGCAGCGCAGGACAGGGTGAAGTGGAGGTCCATGATCGCCCACGCCAGTCGGCAAGGCACCGGATGATGATAATGATGATGATGATGATGATGATGATGATGATGATGATGGTGATAGAATTAGATAATTAGAAAATAAAATACTTTTTTTATGATACATGTACCCGGTACATATTTTTTTCTTCTAATTTGCCAGGGTGGCCACCTAACAGTAACAGTAACAGCCTACTAGACAGTACATCATGTATCTTGTATTACTATAGTCGTCTGCGATTTTCAACCACCAAGGAATCTTTAAAGTGCGTCACGTGCACACGGGATCTCCGAGTACATGTATTTTTCACTCTTATCCGAGGAGACTAGGCACTCGATCTTACAAAGGGTGTGTAGGAAGGCGGAGCGTGATTGGGAGAGTGAGTGAGTGAGCATGAGAGCGAAAGAGATCTTTTATAAAAGAAGAAGAACGGAACAGGGGGTGGAGAGGAGCAGAGTAAAAGTACAATTATATTTCTGCAATAATAAATTTATTCGGCTAGACATTTGCATTTATTTTGTTGTCCATCTGTTGCCATTCGTCGATGTGAGTTCTCCTCCACTTACAATGTAATAAGGCACGGTCACGCTGAAAACACAGCGATCAAACTCAAAGGCACCAGACGAACAGAGGAATGAAAAGAAAATAGCCCAACTCAAGGCACAAGCAACTAAGAGCGAAAAAAAATGGATCACATGTGAAGGCAAATCTTAATGGGCTTCTCTGATCATTTCGTATTTTGCCAAGTTCACGGGGTGACGCAAGCACACAAACACACTCACATACGCACCCGCGCACACTCACATACACACGAGCACACACAGCTTATTTTTGTGTTTTCTTTTTGGAAGAACACCACTCATCTGCCACAACCTCTCTATCACAGAGTAGGCATCTTTCCTCGTGATTTACAATTTACTTTATTAAGTGCTCCTTCTTCAGGATCGTCTGTCTGCCAAAAGTCCTGTCTTTAAAATGTTTTTTCTTTTTTTTTAAATGCAGGAATTTTTTACACCCTCGTCGACACAATCTAGAAAGAGGGCTTCCAACCCTGCCTCTCAGTCTCAGGTCCAACCCAGGCTGAGATAGATACAACATCTCAACAGAGAGACCCAAGAGACTATATATTTGAAAAAATTCTTCCCATCTGGGAATCGAACTCGGGTCTCCTGCATGCGTAAGCAAAACCACCTTACCGCTACACCACATACCCCAGTGGGTCCTGGCTGATACAAAGATATAAGTCCAAACCTACAAAGGAGAAGACTACCCAAGCAATAAATAATCTAATTGAGTCTATTAGGGCATTACCCTCACAAAAGAACAGACCAAAAATCCTTAAAAACTAGTTTACATGTGTATTACGTTCAGTCATTTTCCACAGCTTAAAATTTCTAAATGCTTTTCAGAGTGTATCATCATGAAGGGACGAAGGGACTAAAGGCAACAGGCCATGATATCGAAAAGTAAAACAACAGACATCATGATATGTTTTCAAATGCATTTTGTTACTAAAGGTAAACCATGAAATCGGTTAATTTAACAGAAAACATAGACCAGCCATAGCCCATAATATCAGAGAACTGGCTTCTCCATGTCAACGTCTTCATCAAGTCATCAAGTGCTGACTGTCGCTTATCTCGGTTGCTGTGTTGACAGGTAATTGAATCTTACTCTACAGACACTGGAATCTGTCAATAGTTTTCTAGATCTATCAGTACCTGCCTCTCCAAATCTACACTGTTCATTACATGTATTGCATTCTGCGTGCAAAAAATATTACCATGACCTTGTGACTCATATGGCAGTACATGTACACATCTGATTGCTCAACTCACAGCCTTGAGGAAAATATGCGTCTATTAAAACTTTAAAGTATGCATTAGAAAATTAAAGGCAAACATGACACAAACTAAACAATATAAATAATTAATGGGTTGCACACCCTTTCAATGCATGAAGGTTATTCAACAGGTTGGAGCTCCAATCAAACATCCCCAAAAAGACCAAATAACAAGGAAAGTACACTCATAAAATAACTAAAGTTCTTGAGTTGAGAGTCAAAAGAGGATTTAGACGAGGGTTGCCCACCACTGAGCAAGGCAGCCAGCCAACTGACCAGACAACGTGCTGGCAGATAATTCGTGAATTTTTATAGTAGTCAAAGGTCATTTTGTCATATCAACTAACATTTGAATCATGATGAAATACTTTTCAAAGTCTCCATGCCAATGATGTAACATGATAAGACAAATCTTTCATAGATCGAAAAAGAAATACATGTAGTACACCCTACACTTTACTTTAACCCTACCAAGTGAGTTACCCCTATCCTTACGCCCTGGGGGTCATTTTGTACCCTGGAGTAGTATTCTTCACATTTTAGAATACATGTACTTCTAGTACGAAGATCTCTTTGAAACTTTCAGTATTTCTCAAAAAATTATTTTGACAAATGTACGGATCGGATTAACAAGTAAATTTCCTCTGTAAAAGTGATGGCACAGAGTTCGCCACGTTGTATGGATACGATTGTAAAACATGACGTACGATAGGGTTAATTTAGTTTTCCGTCCGGCAGCCATCAAAGCTCGATCCCTCTGGCCTGTCTATATCATATATATGGCAAAGAATTTACAGGCTTTTATCAGATGTGTTTTGTCACTGTACAGAGTTTTCCAGATTTATGGGGAGACAGGTAAGTAGATATTTCTCAGGTCACTAAGTGCACAATGTATGTGTTTTGAAAACAGTCATCAATTAAAATTAATAAATACAAGCTGAAGCAGGTAAATGTTCTAAGCCTCGGTTGATAAAATTTAGATTTTGCAGGAAAAAGACTTCCCAAAGTGGGAACCAGGCATAGCCAATAAACACATATATTATACCACAGATGCCAGAATGGGAACTTACAGATTATGACAAGAAAACTTAAACCTACAAAAAAAAATAGTGTAAAAATTAGCTGATTAAATTGGAGAGAAAACATCATAACACCCATACATCTCATCACAAACTAATATAAAGGAAAGATTAAAACTGCAGAACAATTTAAACTCTCGAACTCATACTTTTTTAAATGACAAGGCAACTTTCCAGCCTGTAAATAGTAATGAAACATTTCCAAGATTTCTTTTAGCCAAACCACCATGGTAGGAATACAGGGTGTCGGAATATTGCAACATAGAGCCTAGAAGAAAATGTTTTTCCACCTCTGCACATGAAAACAAAGTTTAAAAAAAAACCAAAACTCTGAAACACTTATGATGCAAGATCATTCATAAAAACCGTTAGTAAAGTTGATATAGATGATCTATACTATATGAAGCCACTAAAACTGTTAAAGGTCAAATATTTTTTTACCTCTTGGTGTTGTCGGAGTTAACGACTTGTTATTGAAGGTCAAATGTAAAAACTATACATATCCCTCTGGTGAACCCTCTATCTGATTGTTATTATTATATATATATTTTAAAAAACACAGAAAAAAAGTAGAAGATGTCACAGTCACAAAATTTTCTTTTGAGAATCAGTTTATTATAAGTATACATATAATAATTAGATTGATCAGATCTGAGATTACTCAAGCCAAGTCATATAAAAACAAAATCACAGTATCACTCATCTGTAACATCACCAAACTCTTGGAAATTTATTCCTACAGTCTCAGTCCGTGAAAAAAAGAATTGCGAGAATTTGACTCTAACATCTGAAGCAACCTTACGGTCTATCCCAAGCTCTGTCTTTGTAGTTCCTTCATTCTCTCTTGAATCGTTGTATAGTACCTCAATTTCATTGTTGCATTTTTTGCATCTGAAAGGCGGTTTTCTCTAAAAAGGGCAGATATTTCTGTTATACATTCTTCTATTTTTCCATCATTTATACTATTCAGTTCGTTCACATCACTAATGCTGTTTGCATTGCTTATTTGTTCATTCACATCCATGACTTCCATGAGGAATTCTGGATCTGTGAAGTTGTCACTTTCTGAGATGGTGATGCCCTGTAGTTCCAGTATGTAGAGAGCTCGACTCAAAGACTTCTGAAGTGTGTTGTATGCCTTGTTAAGGAGGGAGGACTGCTGTTCTGCCAACATCTGCTCTTCCTGGAAAAAAGGGGACAAAAAAAAAAGAATCAGCGGAGTCAGCTAAGCACATTACAAACAGGATGAGTGGGACAGAAAACTCAAATCAAAGCAAGATTCTGGAAGGCTGTCAACCATCCCTTACTTAATGGGAAAGTCCCATTTTTTTCTAAATTAATTTTCAGGTTATTTTTATAATATATGCAGCTATGATTTAACCCTAGGAGATCTATCCGTACGTCGTGTTTTACTATCATATCCATACAACATCGGGAATTCTGTGCCACCACTTTCCAAAGAGGAAATTTACTCGTTAATTCGATCCGTACCCTTTGCATAGCAGTCTGTCAAAATGATTTTTTGAGAAATACTGAAAGTTTCAAAGAGATCTTCATACTAGAAGTATTCTAAAATGTGAAGAATACAACCCCGGGGGGGTACAAAATGACCATAGGGCATATGGATTGGGTTACATCTTTGGTGATAAAATTTACATATATTTTTTTTCTTAAACTGAGTAGCAGTGGAGATGAAAGCAGACAACAGAACAGGAAAGATGAAAGGAGAAAATTTTCCGTCACTGTCAGGTTTCAAACCAGGGACATATAGAGAGAAAGGCAGAACATATTTTTCTCTAAAATATTTTCTCCTTTCACCTCCTCCAACGGAAGATGGAAACCTGATATGACTGCATCTCTCTACTTCCCCCTTGATAAATTCCCGTTTAAATATAAATTATAATACACCTAAGACAGTAGCCTTAACAATCCAGAAATTGATGAAGAAATTTCTTCCCTTCGGAGGATTTTGACCTGTCAAAGGCAGAAAATGATATTCAATATATACCTATTCCACTCAGTCTTGATTCAAAACAAAACTCCGCACTAATTTAGGTTCCATAAGGTCTGACCTTTACACCACGATCTCAGGAGAGGAAGGACGAAAGGGGTGCTGCTTGAGAGTAGCTTTTTCCCTACCCATGTGAGCCCTCAGCAGTGCAAATGGTCAGGGTGTTGCGGGTGTGACATCTGTCTGCTACTTGTATTAAAAGTGCTTGAGTGGCATGCAAGCATTGAAACTTTCACCATAGCTAGCTCTAATTATATATCAATCAATTGAAAGTGAAAGAAAGAAATTACAAAAAATCCATCAAAATAAACATTGGAATCAACAATGATAAGGACGACTACAAGAACACTCCTTAAAAGTCTGTGGAACCTCATCTTACCAGTTTCTTCTTCTCAAACACACCTCATTGAAAGATCAGTATCTATCATATTACTGCAGTTTTCACCAAAGATCCCAGTACATGTACTTGGGAGCACGGAAAAGCAGGAGCTGAGGCCAACAGGGTCTGAGCCGATGCACCAAGGGGTTGAATTCACAGCGACTCATGTTCAGGCCCACAACTAGTAAATGGTCTCCCCATACCCTGAAATGAACTGACATGACTCCTGGGTGGGCTATGACTTACAGTGAGCAAAGAGTGGTCAACTTGATGACCAATTACAATGATTAACAAGTCATGAGGCATGCAATTTTCACTTTTATCCAATTATGAGTCTCAAATCTACGCCGATCCTATAGAGCCCCTTCCCTTTACCTGTCCTAAATTTATTGCTTTCCATCTGATCTCTGACCTGGTCCCCCCCACCCTCAGTCATAACACACCACTGTGTTGTGAACTCATCAATTAAAATTCAGTCTGTCTAGCAAATTCAGAATTTGGGTGTCGAAATGAAAGATGGTCAGGCAAACTAAATCATCGAAGAGTTCACAGTTCGATGTGATCCCATTTGGTGTGGCCTTGTAAGCCCAACCCTCAAAAAGTGTGATGTAAGTCCAGGTGAAGAGTGAAGAGCTTAAATGCAAATTAAATGTGAAGTTTGGGGGGAAACAAATGCATCCACGAGTTCACACCTCAGTGTGATCCTGTCTGGGGTAAACATTGCACTGTTTCATCGAGATTTACAACCTGGCTGTAAATATATTCACGATAGTGGACGATCTATGACGCAATCGGCAATACAATGATCCCCAATTAACACTGATTGGTTGATTAGCTGTGCCCACCCGAGTTCTTGTTAAAAAAATTATCATCCGAAATGCGGGATCCAAAAAAATTATCATCCGAAATGCGGGATCTTAGTCTTAGCCGAATGTTATCCTTCGGAGCGGGATCTTAGGGGTGACTTTTGTGAAATAAATATTTTGTTTTCTTAAAGGTACCTTTCTTAAAACAGCCAGATCTGAAGTGAACAGGGATCATAAGCAGTGGGATTTTAGGCAGAGACTACTGTACTGTGTTATCTGTTTTTTAATCCTCTACTGTTGGCCTGCATAGCATCTCGTAATGTTAGTGGACCTCATCATAGCTGATTAAACCCAAGCGGCCCCTCCTAGCGGTCAAAGCTTCTTCCTAAATTGATGAGCGAACGCTCACACTCACTGCAGCCAGTGTGATACATACGAGTAAACGAAAATTTCTCAGGAAAATTCTATGAAAGCAATAAAACTAAGTGTGCAAAGCTTCTCTTTTAGGGAAGCTAGTACTAGTCTCCTAGTACTCCTCTTTTTTGTCTTGAGTTGAAGCACTTGTTGGTAAATCGGGGTGTCAACGTACACGGTAACCGGGCGCGTAGCCTCGGGGTCTACGTACACGGTAACCGGGCACGTAGTCTCAGGGTCTACGTACACGGTAACCGGGCACGTAGTCTCAGGGTCTACGTACACGGTAACCGGAAGGTTCAAGAGATAGATCACTCAGCCCACAGAATTCTACACTAAAGTGTAGAATTCTGTGACTCAGCCAAAAAGAGTGTCACTATTATTGTTTTTCACACAAGTAGGGTAGATTCTAACTCTGTTCGCAAAGTTTGCGCTTTTTCGAAGAGGGCGTACGAGGGTCAACCGCTCTATAGTCCAGCATGATACCCACTAAATTTCATAACAGAGCGTCCAGTAAGCCTTTACTTTCGCCTTCGTTACCACCCAGAAATTTGTAAGTAATTGTCTGATAACGCAACAATTATTGTAACATGCAGGTTCGGCATTACAAACGTAGTGTCGCCATGAAAGTAAATCAATATTTGTCACTGTGTCGTCACTTATAGGGGCAACATGAAGAAAAGAAAGTTATACAAGCGTCTTGTCGGGCTCGCCATTGTGGCCGGTCAATGAACCTGCGCGCGTTCTGGGCGCTGCGAAGTACAGGACTCAGGAATGGGGGGGGGGGGAGATTATTGATTTTTTTTAAAAGACGCACTCGCGGAAGGGGAAGGGCTGGACGCAACACCAGTGGACAAAAAAAAAAATGGAACTGGAAGCAATTATGTTTAATGTTTAGAATTTTGATAACTACTACAGCTCTCTGTGCGTGGGTGCAGGCCTTGTGTGAAAACGGCGTAAGTGTTCGCGTTTCATTGGATTGGTGGCAGCATATTTTAGCTTTCTGTACAAGATTCGCAGATTTTCAGTATCATTGCATCTTGCCCTCCCACAGTTCTTACACCTCTCACACTGAATAGGTCTACTTGGGCTATTCTACTGTACTTTGAGTTAGAGCATTAATTTTTGTTTTTCACGTATATTATATAGGCCTATATATATGATATGAATCATGACAGTCGATATTCTGGTTCTAGGCTCAAAGCAAGATTCATTTTTTTATATAGTTTATATATACAGGCGAATAAGATGAAGGGAAAATATTAATAAGTCGCACAAGACCCCAGGCGCCACCACTTTCTGCACGTAATCAAGATTGTAAATTTGGTGCGTGATTCTTACTTGAAATTATCTCCCAAACCCTCAAATTGGTGTGAAATAACCTTGCTTTGATAAATTGATGGTTTTCATTTCAGCGTTCTAGGGTTCAACAGTATAATAATAATGGGTGTTTCTCGAAAATGGGCTTCTGTGGCGATCACCCGGAAAGTTCCTCCTTTTTTAGAATTCTGAGTTGAGACCCATGTGATTTAAATAAGATGAAATTTGTTTTCAAAATGCTATGATGTCACACCCTTTGGTGCAGAGAAGCAAGCATTAAACCAAATACTATAGCCTTTGGGTGTTGACCATAGCTAAAGATGTACTTTTCCATGTTTGATTTTGACTGTCTTCTCTAGTTTTAATATGTCCTGGGTCATTCATTTTTTATTTGCTCTTTTAGCTTTCATATTGTTTTATCCAATGTGTATGTTGTGTGATTTGTGTGTGTTTAGAGACAGAGAGAATATCGTTGTGAGGCTATGGAGATTTTTGTTATAAAGTAACTACATGTACAAAGTCATAGTCAAGTCTACTTCTGACAAACTCAACCGATAAAGCTATCCTCATATATCGTTTTATCCAATGTGTACGTTGTGTAATTTGTGTGTGTGTAACATGCTAAGTATTAAATATATTTAGAGGCTATTCACATGTGTATGATGTGTGTGTGTGTGTGTGTGTGTGTGTGTGTGTGTGTGTGTGTGTGTGTGTGTGTGTCTCCCTCTCTCTCCCTCTCTTTCTCTCTCTCTCCCCTCTCTCTCTCTCTCTCTCTCTCTCTCTCTCTCTCTCTCTCTCTCTCTCTCTCTCTCTCTCTCTCTCTCTCTCTCTCTCTCTCTCTCTCTCTCTCTCTCTCTCTCTTTATGTATTTTTGTGTGTGATTGTAAGTGTGGTGTGTGTAAAGATAGTATTATATGGGTGGTTGGTGGGTGCTCTGGAGTGGTCTGCTCCTTCTCTCCTTTTCAACATCTATCATCCTTATCTTTCTCTTCCTTCTTTTTGTGTTTGTTACTCTCTTGAAACACTAACACCTGTAATCTTCGGCATTTATATAAACTTATTTTGTTGCAAGTGCTAACTCTTTTGAAAACAAAAGATAGTTTTAGGTATGTACAGGGTGTTCTGGTGGCAAGCGTAAGTGTATGCGTGGTACCAAAGCTCGATCTTCTTTCGCTTTCTTTACCACCCAGAAATTTGCCGGTAGCAGTCTGATTAACGCAACATTTGTAACATACAGGCTGTGCATTACAAAAGCTGTGTCGCCAGGAAAATAAATCATTGTCCTGTGCTTTCACTTGCGGAAAAAAAGAAAGGCATACAAGTGTCTTGTCGGGTTCGACATCGTGACCGGTCAGTGAACCTGTACTTTCGCATCACATTGTGAGTACCAGTGATCGCATGGGGTCACCAAAGTTCATTCAACGTGTGCGCTGCGCGAAGTATAGGGCTCCGGAATAGGGGGATTATTGATTTTTTTTTTTAAAAGGTACAGTCGGGGGGAGGGGTGGAGTTGAAGGCAACATCGGATGACAAAAACTGAACTTAGAAGCAAATTTTAGTACAGTGGAGTCCACTTTTAACGAGTCCTGAAACAACGAGAAGTCTGTTATAAAGACACTATTCTAAAACCCCCTTTTTCCCCTTCTTTATCTTTGTAAATAAAATACTGCTATTGCGCAATCAGACAAACACGGGAGTCGGTTATAGCGGAATACTGCTGCTGCTGTGCACAGCACACAGACCAGTTAAACACAATATAAAACCTCGTCAGTTAAGAAAGTTGTTGGTGATCCAGCAAAACAAAGAATGGGAGAGCCCATGCGAACCAACAATGAAGGCTGGAGCGAATGAATGGGGAGGGTGTGGAATGCGCAGACAAGCAGAATGCATCGTGTGATATTCCTGCTCAGTCTAGATTATCTAGGCATACCATGCCTCTCATTTCTCTGGTGCAGGATGGAGAGGTCACAATGCTGTGATAGATGGAGTGAATGTGTGACGTGCGCAAGCAGACGCAACGCACCACATGGTGGGGCGGGGTGGGGGACAACACAGCGGGCGAGTTAGCCTAGAGCCAGAGCCCCTTCTTTCTGATCGCCAACGTCGAGCTGTCAACATTGCTAGTGCTAGAGAAAGGAACCTGATTCGATTTTTGATCAAATAAGACCTAGAGATCACGTAGAACAA